AAGCCAAGCTCAGTCTCGCACAGTACATCCATGCTAACGTCTAAGGAAATAAGCCGAGTAACCCTCGCACACTTAGCCACGTTAAAGAATGTCCTTAAGCCAACCTCAAAGTCGTGGATCAAAAGCCGAGCTCAATCTTGCATAGTCTTAGAACGTCTAAGTAAATAAGCCGATCAACCCTCGCACACTTAGCCACGTTGAAGACTTTGTCATAAGCCGATCTCAGGGTCGCCGATTAAAAAGCCGAGCCCAATCTCACATAAGCCTCAGAATGTTTAAGTAAATAAGCCGATCAACCCTCGCATACTTAGTCACGTTGAAGGTTCCCTTTTAGGCCGACCTCAGGGTCGCTGAGCAAAAAGCCGAGCTCAGTCTCGCATAGTCTCAAAGACGTCTAAGTATATAAGTCGATCATCCCTCGCACACTTAGTAATTTCGAAGACTTCGTCTTAAGCCGATCTCCGGATCGCAAACAAGAGCCGAACCCAGTCTCGCATAAGTCATAGAGACGCCTAAGTAAGTTAGCCACGTCAAAGACTTCGTCTTACGCCGACCTCATGGTCGCCGATAAAAGCCGAGCTCAGTCTCGCACTAAGTCTCAGAAGCGTCTAGGTCAGTAAGCCGAGTTACCTCACACACTTAGCCATGTTAAAGACTTCGTCTTAAGCCAACCTAAGGGTCACGAACAATACGACCTAGATATACCTAAGTGTGTAAGCCGGTCTGTTTTCGCCAACTTAGCAGGACGACGGTCTACTATTAAAAAAAAAACTTATGTGCATAAAACATAAAGCCGTTTAATCAAAACGCAATAGCCTATCAAAGGCGTACCGAATGAATAAACCTAGTTACAAAAAAGTTTTAAGTTTGAGGAGTTACAAAACAAAATACTAAGGCCACAGACGGCCTGGCCGAGGGTTAAAGTCTAAAACAAAAACCAAAAGAGAGAAGGGATGGGTTGAAGAGTGCAATCAAAGCTGAGCGGCAGGGGTACTCTGCGTGACGGGAATTCCAGAGAGAGGAGCCAAGTCTTCCCCGGTTGCCAGACCTCTCGCAGAAAAATCTCCAGAGCCCTCGCCGTCCTCAGAAGAAGCATCCAGCGCGTCACCATCTTGAGGCATGTGAGTGCCGTACTGATCAAGAGCAGCCGCCGCATCAGACATGACCCTCTCTGTAGAAGGAGCGGGATCACGAGGAGGAGTCACCTCAAAGTCGGTGTCAGTAATCTCAGTCACCTCGAGAGCATCGAGCTCCACAAGATACTTCTTCTTGTCAGTATCGAGACTTTACAGCTCGCCATCAAGATCTGACCTCCGACCTCCTTGATAGGCCTTTATTCCTCCCGACTGATTGGCCAAGGAGGAGAGGCGATTGACCTCCTCCATATCCTGGCAGTACCGCTTAAGCTTACCTAGACGTGCTTGATTCCTAACGCGACAGGCTGCAACAACCTCCACTACAGCAAGAGCGGTCGCTTCTTTGAGCTGCGCTATCTCCTTATCAGCCCAAGCCTTCAACGACTCCTTCTCTGTTTCAACAGCGACAATCTTCTCCTCAAGCTCCCGATTCCTCAGCATAGTCTGCTCCGCCTTAGAATTCAGCTCATCAGACGCGCTCTTCATCGAGTCAACCTGACCCTGTAACTTAAGGACCCTGTCAAATGACTTGTTCATCTTACGCTCATAGAGCGTCACGAGGTGATTGGTGGAGCAAACCGCCTGAACATGCGTCGAATAAAAATCAAGAAGGGTAGAGACAACGCCAAGCAGCAAAAAACAACGACTAAAAAAAGAGAAAAAGGGAAATGGGTGCACGGCCATACCTGCATAAGAGAGCCAGACCAGTTAATGTAAGCATCTCTCTGCACCAAGTGGTTCACTTTGGGAAGCTTAAGACGGTCGCTTGGTTGAATGAGAGAAAAAAGGTCGGTACAAGCCCTTACGTCCTTGAACGAATAGCCGAAACCGTAAATCCCAGGAATGGCTTCTTCCTCCTCCTTCTGCTCAGCCTCATCAACAGCCGTTCCTGACCCTTCAACAGTGGCCAGAGATAAATCCTCGCCGCAAGACCTATTCTGAGATTTCTCAGAACGCCTATCCTTCGACCTCCCCCTCTTCCGAGAGAAGATCGTCTCCGACGCCTGGGTAATTGGCATGGTCGGCTGCTGTTCTGGGGGTCGCTCCCCCAGACGTAGCCGTGCCAGCAGGACGCTTACCCACCATATTCTCTGCAAGTGAAACCTTCTTCAATTTCTCCAAGTCGGGAGTAGGCGCGTACGTGGCGACCCCTTGGTCTCAACCCACTCAGCGGCAGGGAGAACCAATACCGCAGTCTTCTTCTTCTCAGCTGTGTAGCTCACTTCCTTAAAAACGGCTTTGCCCATCTTCTTCTTCCGTTGACGAGGTTTCCTTTCTTTGATCAGCTTGAATGTATACAAACGAAGAGGAGCAAGCTCGATGTCGAAACGATCTGTGAAACAAAACAAAATCAAGGACGGGGTTCCCAGAATAAGCACGGACGAAGGAAGGAAGAATAACCGACCTAGATTGATCCTAGAGTAGCAACGCTGGATCCTCTGCTCGAGCAGTTCACGCCAAACTTGAAGACCTCTCATCGGAGAGCATTGATCAAAGTCTCACTTCCGCGTGGAGGAGGTCTCACCACTTGCACTGGGTTATCTGCACAAAAATAAAGATTTTTACGATCAGGACAGCCAGGCAATACGAGGATTAAAGGATAAAAGTCTACCAACAGCGACGTTTCACCCCGAACGCATCGGTCAGTCAGGGTTAGGAACGGTTTTCTCATCAATCTTGACAAAAAAATATTTCCTTTCCCAATGGCCGGCTTTGCAACCGACTCCGATCATAAGTTTATGATTATGGCGCATAGAAATATAAAAGCGACCCATCGTCCTAACCCGCTTCAATTGAGTTATCTCCTCCAACTGGTCACACGTGACCGACCTCTCGATCTCGGCGGCAAGTGTTAGGATGGAGGTGACGTTTCGAATCCCCGCGTGAGTAAGCTGTGAGATCGAAATCAGACGCCGAGAACAATATTGGATTAGGATACGAGGGAGCGGGAACCAAAGGCCACTCTTCAGAAAGAAAGATTCATAGAGACACATATATCCTTCAGGCGGAGCCCACGGACGTTGGTCGGCGGTTGGAACGATGAAATCTATGTCGGCGGGCAAGTGTCGCTCTCGACGCTTCCTCTCTAGTGAGTCGGTGGTGGCTTTTGTAGCTAGATCATCCCTCGGCTCTAACTCAATGTAACGACCCAAGCAGGGCCAGGAGACTTGGCGCCCTCATCGTTTATCAAGGGAGAAAATGAGCCGACCTCATCCTTCACCGAAAAGAGGTCGTCTTGAGTCATCGGCATCGTCGAAATCAACCTGATCTGACTCTCCCGAAGTCCCCTCGCGATCCTACGGAAGCGGCGGAAGATCCACCGACCTCTT